ATTTTTTATAACAATTTTGAAACAATCTCCATGTGAGATTGTTATTGAAGCATCCGTTACGAACTGCACTAAAAAAAAAGTATTTTTTTTCTTCATTTTTCGCCTCTTCAACTACCTCTCCCAAAATTCTGTAAAATGTGATGATTACTGTATAATTTTAGAGTTTACATATAATAAAAATACCCATAATAAATACTGTACTTACTTGATACATTATGTTTTAAGATGTGTCTACCACTTAAATTTTCATAAATATCTGCCATACAAAAATGGTCAGAACATATACTAAGGCTTCTTTCATTTTCGTAATGTTTTCCTCCACCAAGCATAGATTTTGCAGCCAAATTCTACGTTGAATAATTTCTCTAGGAAACCTGATCAGAAAATATAGAACATTATTATTTAAATAAACAATGCTAGTGCTAAATGCCTTTACACTGTTAAATAAATTAAGCCTTATTCCCTGTATATGCCTACGTCTATGCTAACATAATCTTATTTATGAAATGACCGAATAACATTCTTATTCTGCGTATTTCGGCACACTATTTATTTCCTCCCCATCGTAAAAGTCCTTAATAAAAAGTTCAGGGTTTAAATTATTCTTGAAAACTACAAAAAACCACAAAAATCACAATAAAACTTGATCTGTCACTTTGACAACATCAGCAAAATGTCTTAGGTTGCCAAAGTTAAATGATTTATACCAAAATGTTTAATATTCCCATATGATACACATGTAAAAATAGATACTTAAAAGTCTTAAGTGATTGCAATTAATAAAAAACTCATATTGATGCTTTCAATTCTTTATTTCCTTTTTTTTTATTAGATTGTATTAAAGGTAATAGTAACTTTTTAAATAAAAATTTAATGTTTGATATTTGATGAAAGAGATCTGACAACATAGGAAGAGCGTACCGTCAAAAAAAAGTAGCGGACAAGTGTAATGTATACAAGGCGTATCTATTATCCGATATCTTTGGTCTGACCACATACATTAGAATAGGGTCCAGACGCGCCGTGCGTGGTTTCTAAACGCACTCCAGTTCAGTAGCCGAAATCCATTGAATTGTTGTCTCTGGTAAAGGTTTATAAATTAGTGCTAGAAAAAGCATTTACAATAATTTACTAATTTAGTTGGACAGATACCTAGGTATTTAAAATTTAAATAGTCGATTTTTTGAAAATCAAAGTGTCTCGCGTAGAACAATATATCGCGTGATAGCAGAATGTGAGAAAGGTTTACCCTGCCTAAATCTGTCGAAAAGTGGAAGACTGTTTAAGGTGCTAATAAATGGATATAGGTAGAACAAATCAGTCAATGGAAAGTGCAAAGGTAGGTGCCTCTGTAATTATTACAAATTAAAAATTAAAATTCTGGTTGTTGCCACATTGTTAAAAACTATCCTACCTATGTGTATAAAGCATCGGTAAATCATGTAGCGGGTACGGTCGACTTTAGGTCCAGTAAAATTTTAAAGAAATTTATTTTTTATTTTAAATAGTAAATTTAAAAAAAAATTGCGGTAAATACATTATTTAAGCCAAAAAAAAATATTTAATTTCTATAAAAATCAGCATTTTGACGACTGTAAACATGGAAACTCGATGGTTTCTGTCAAATTTAGAAAATATAATTACAACGTTGCCGGATTGTGATAAAATTAGTAGTTAATGGAAATTTGTGATTGCGCATACCGATCCATAAATATGCAACAAGAAAACGAAGCAACGACTTATCGGAAAAATCCGCCGACGGTCGAACGGGCTATTTTTTTTTAACGATTTTAGACCTTCTGAAACACATTTCAAAATACTTTTTTTGCCCTGCAAACGCTATAAAATATTTTTTTCTTACCTTAAAACTATTAAAATGTGTCCTCCAATTTCGATGTTGAAAAAACTTAAACTACATCATTTTGATTAATTTCTTGTTATAGAAACTGCTAAATAATAACACTAGATCATCCACAATGCAATAAACCATCCAAATTTTTTCGTAAACAGTATTATTTTCTTAATTTACGACCAAGTTAAAGTTCGTCAAAATAATCCAATTTTCATAACCGCAATGACAATTAACATTGGCAGTGTGACATGTGTTTAAAAGAAATACAATCTTGCCATATCAATTATGTATTACATAGCAATGGTAATTTTTACCTATGCCCTGCGTTGTACCAGGCCAACCAATTGACTTCAGTATTAGAAAAATTATATAAAACTAACAATTTAAAAAATACCCATATCAAGACCGGCATAAACTCCAACGGCCTGGACACAGCTCAAATTGAAAAACCTAACCTAACCAACCCTCATTAGCGTCTGACCAGTGAACCTCGATCCCAACTTTTAACGAACGTGTCTTGTATCGTGGGAATCTAATAAGAAAATATACAATAAGAAAATGAAGGAACGACTTTTTGTAAGGTGGCGGCTTCGCCGCCACCAGAAACTTTTTAAACCATACCTGGCTACGCCGACCGGCATAAACTCCAACGGCCTGGACACAGCTCAAATTGAAAAAAAAACCTAACCTAACCAACCCTCAATAGTGTCTGGCCAGTGAACCTCGATCTTAACTTTTAACAAACGTGTCTTGTATCGTGGGCATCTAATAATAAGACAATATACAATAAGAAAATGAAGGAACGACTTCTTGTAAGGTGGCGGCTGCGCCGCCACCAGAAAATGTTTAAATCATACCTGGCTACGCCGACCGTCATAAACTCCAACGGCCTGGACACAGCTCAAATTGAAAAAAAAACCTAACCTAACCAACCCTCATTAGCGTCTGGCCAGTGAACCTCGATCTTAACTTTTAACGAACGTGTCTTGTATCGTGGGCATCTAATAATAAGAAAATATACAATAAGAAAATGAAGGAACGACTTCTTGTAAGGTGGCGGCTGCGCCGCCACCAGAAAATGTTTAAACCATACCTGGCTACGCCGACCGTCATAAACTCCAACGGCCTGGACACAGCTCAAATTGAAAAAAAAAACCTAACCTAACCTAACCAACCCTCATTAGCGTCTGGCCAGTGAACCTCGATCTTAACTTTTAACGAACGTGTCTTGTATCGTGGGCATCTAATAATAAGAAAATATACAATAAGAAAATAAAGCAACGACTTCTTGTAAGGTGGCGGCTTCGCCGCCACCAGAAAATTTTTACACCATACCTGGCTACGCCGACCGGCATAAACTCCAACGGCCTGGACCCAGCTCAAATTGAAAATTTTTTTTTTAAATATTAGATAAGTACCGACATGCCGTAATTAACGTACAATCATCATGAAATGAAATAAAAAGATGGTTGTCTGTGATTACTACAAATGTTTTCACTTCGGGATCCAAATTTACCTGCTGGCCAGACACTATGTAATTTTTCAGCCAACTTTCACTAACCGAATTATTTCCTGACTTATATGTTTTCTTACTCGATTTGGCAACACCGCATTTATAGAAACTAGACACATCAATTGTCATTACAAATAATTTAATGTTTATTTATTTTTCCAACAAACTTAAAATGAAAAATAAGAAAATTTGATCGTTTATGAAAAAATTTGGTACGGTTTATTGCTCTATGAATGGTCTTATATTGATATTTAGCCGTTTCTACAACAAGAAATCAGTGAAAATGGTTTATTTCACATTTGTTTTATGATGAAGACCCAACAACAAATTTTAAGAATTTTCAGGATTTTAAGGTAAAGTGTTAGCGGACCCAGTGTGTTTCCAAGTGTCTAGAAACTCTTTATAACATTTCAATAGTTATATCCGCCGTTCGAGTGTCGGTGTATAATACCTTGACAAGTTTGCTGCGGATCTCACCGAAGTGGACGCGATACATTGGCGTATAAAATTATTTTATAGATGTTAATAACAATTTCGAGTAAATAGTTTAATAAATTGTGAATAGCTGTTGAAATTTTGTAAAATTATGATTTGAATATTATAATACATGTTTAATAATTATTTATAGTCCATAAATACATGCGATTGTCCGGTTCCGCCGAAAACAATTTAAAATTACTTATTCTATGAAACGACACTGGCAGGTAAACATTACTGCGAAATTCTCGAAACCGTCCGACGTGGTTTGACGTTTACCCCCTCTCTACCTACCAAAAACCTTTCCAACTTTTACTTTCCCTATAATACCGTTCTATATTATTTTTTATAAATAATATGACAACTGATATTTATATTTCTATAAATGTGGAGTTGTTAAACATAGTAAAAGAACGTACATAACAGGAATGACAGTGGCTGTGTATTCAATAGCTCCAAGCCAAATGATAAAACCAGAATATAAATGTGTTTATATGAGAATTTTCATTTCAATTATTCAATTTGAGCTGTGTCCAGGCCGTTGGAGTCTATGCCGGTCGGCGTAGCCAGGTATGGGTTGATGTTTTTTGGTGTCGGCGAAGCCACCACTTTGCGACTTATCGTAGGGTGGCGGCTTCGCCGCCACCCTACGCCCTTGTCAATTTATGTGTATACAGTTTGAGAACTGGCAAAAGCCTTTCCAACTTTTACTTCTGTTCTACCATGAATATATTTATTTATAACAAAAAGCAATTGGCAACATCGCTAAAATCACGCACAGGCGCTCTTAGTGTGACTGTCAAATCGAAAAAATTAAAAACAATATGGCTACGTGAGAATGTAGTGAATAAATGCATACCTATTCTTAATTTTTTAGCTTACAAATGTGTTTTAATAATATTTGTTACTTTAATTAGGTTAGTGCACACTTATAGAAGATTAAAAAGTGTAAAAATATTATGGTTTTACTTAATCTTTATGGAAAAAGTGACAAAATTACTGGACCTAATATCGACCGTAGCCTCATGTAGCATGTATGTTTAAAACGCGCTATTTTTGGAAACAAATGATTTAATTAGATTTGTAACGAACAGCAACAGCATAAAATAAAACATAAATCCATTTTAATTCTAAACTAATAAAAATAAGATCAAAGATACCTATTTTAAATCGGCACACAGTCATTGCACCTGCTCTTAATTATCAGTTTTCTCTCTTCCGAAAAATAAATAATCATTGATGCCAGAGCACATGGCTTATATGAGGGTGGTAGGTATGTAGCTACGCGGTGAATTTGTTGCATTTCTTCGGTGTCTGGTTTGTATTATCCTATCCTGAGAGGTAATTTCGAAGAACGCCGACCTCAAGTAGACGAAAACGAACTCGATCGACGGTCCCCGAACGATTCTGACCAGCCGGCGTGCGTTAGTTGCGTGTTGTCGTTCGACGGGAGCAGGTACGCTTTTTTCTCGCTTTCGGTTGTTTTATGTTTTCGCGGCAACTGAATTTTAGTGTTAGAATGTGTGTTTTTAGTTTTTTAATGGATTGACCTGGAATGATGCGGAGTAACAAAATGCTGCGTTCATTTATAATATTGTTATTGACTGGTACATGCTGTGCTTTTCAACACGAGGCGATAGAATCTGAAGATGAAATTCCTCCGCATGGACGATGTCAACCAATAAGCATACCGTTTTGTACAGGTATAGCTTACAATGAGACGATATTACCGAATATACTGGGTCATCAAACCCTCGAAGAAGCTGGAATGGAGATTCATCAATATTTCCCTCTGGTCAAAATAAATTGCAGCCCTGATTTGCAGTTTTTCTTGTGTTCTGTTTTTGTGCCAGTTTGTACTATTTTGGACCACGCGTTGCCTCCTTGCAAATCGTTGTGTGTATCTGCTAGAAACGGTTGTGAAGGTATAATGCAGAGGTTCGGATTTCAGTGGCCTGAATATATTAATTGTGATAATTTTCCCGAGCCAGGCCAACTTTGTGTTGGTGAAAACAAATTGACTGTAACTCCTAATCCACATAATGAGGAGTTTTCCAAATATCCTGTTACGAAGAAGTGGTCTCCGTATCATGGAAAAAATTACGGGTTTGTTTGCCCTGAACAGTTCAAAGTGCCTGAAGTTTTAGAATACTCATTCAAAGTAGCGGATAAAGTAGAGGGAAATTGCGGTGCTCCCTGTCACTTAATGTTTTTTGAAAAGAATAGAAATTTTTCAAGAATCTGGATTGGTACTTGGGCAATTCTGTGCTCGGTCAGTTGTTTATTCACTGTATGCACTTTTCTGATTGATACTGACAGATTTCGTTATCCAGAAAGACCAATAATTTTTTTATCCGTTTGCTACATGATGGTCGCAATAGCCTACGTAATAGGTTTTGTGGCAGGAGATATGATCGCCTGTCAAGAGCCTTATCCTAGTAAACACGGGATTGTAACGGAAAGTACAATAACGCAAGGAACGAAATACGAATTGTGCACCATACTTTTTATGGTTCTCTATTTCTTCAGTATGGCCTCCAGCATTTGGTGGGTTGTGTTGACTTTAACGTGGTTTTTAGCGGCTGGACTAAAGTGGGGACACGAAGCTATTGAAGCTAATTCGCAATATTTTCATCTAGCAGCATGGGCAATACCTGCCATCAAGACCATTAGTATTTTAGCTAAAGGAAATGTTGACGGTAAGAATAAAAATTGTATTGGAGCATGATTCATTTTATAAATCTTCTCATATTTGTATGAAAGTATACCTACATTAATACCTAATTAATATAACAAGACCAAATTAAATTGATCGAAGTAGAAACTAATTATGAAAGGAAAGGTAATAGAAAACACCCAAACTATATCGAATAAGAAATGAGAAGAAATCACTAAAGCACAAAATAACTTACCTATTACAGAAGTGAAGGCTTGCGTCGGCACTTTGATATTGGGGTGGTCCACAGAACTGAAATTAGGAGATTGGATTTGACAGTTTACAAAAACGTTTTTTTTGAGTTTGAGCAGTAGGTGCCAAACAAGGTCATAATTTGAAAAAATATCCATCTATAAATTGACAAATTTTAACAACTTAACTCGAAAACGGAAAAAGATATCGAGATGCAGTTTTCACTAGACCTTTTACATTTACTTCAAGTTTTTCTTGACATTGTTGTCACATGTAATTTTTTCTGGAAAGTGCCGAAAAAAAAACGAACTTTTTTGAACCAAATTTGTGAGCTTATTTTAAATAGAACACCCTATAATTTTTAACATCCTCGGAAAGACCATTTCTTTCCCTTTCCAAAAATGTATTCATTGTAAGCATTTATTCAATTTTTTTGGGAAAAATTTACTTTTTTATGAAACCATGTCGATAACTTCTAAACGTAAAGTATCACAATTTAAAAGCCTCGATAATGTGACAATTTATTGATAAGAGGTTTTAACTAAAATTCTGGGAAATGTTTAATTTTTTTATAAAATGGTTGTAAAGTCTCAAATGTCTTAAAATTTTCGTAAAAGATTACTTTTACCAATTCAGATTAAGGGCTTATGATGAATAAAATTCTTCGTATTTGTAACGTTTATTTGCAAGCCTTTATCCATAAATCATCATTTAAAAGAATGTCTTAAGCGTTTTCAATATGTACCTATATCTGTTTTTATTTGTCTATTTAATATTCCTCTTTTTGTAAATTAACTTACTCAGCTTTGGATAGAATATGAATGAGTCAATAAATGATACTACTAATTTATCAAGGGTGCTCTATGTAAAACAAATCGAGTTGACAGAAGTCTATATTTGTATTAATTAGTGCAAGAGAAAGGTATTAAAAAATGTTTACCAAAAGTGAAAAAGCCCGGTGCGTTTTACTTTATATTGAAAGTAGATCACTTACACATATACAAAGAAGATTTAGAAATATGTTTGAAAAAAATTCGCCAACCAGACATTCTATTTTAAACTGGGTAAGTGAGTTTAAAGAAACGGGAACATTAGATAGAAAAAAAAGACAAAGATATTATTTTAAATGATATACAGATAAGGGAAATTTTAGCAAGAAACAATAATAAAATATCTATTAGAAAAATTGCCCAATCCATACATATGTCAAAGAGTAAGGTGCATAAAATTTTAAAAGTAACAAGTTTAAAGCATATAAGGTTCAGACTTTTCATAAAATTGAAATTCATGCATTTGAAAAGAGAGTTTTTATGTGTGAGACGTTATTAGATTTATTTAGACATCAACCAAATGTAAATCTAATAATGTCAGATGAAGCAACGTTTTATTTAAGTGGACGCGTAAACAAACACAATTGTAGGATTTGGGGTGACGAAAATCCTAGAGCTTTCAACGAGTTTGAAAGAGATGCTCCCAAGGTAAATGTATGGTGTGGTGTGTCCAAAACCAAAATTTATGAACCATTTTTCTTTCAAGAGGAAACAGTATATGGAAACAATTACACGGATATGCTAGAACTATTCTTTTATCCTCAACTAGAACAAGAAGAAATACTAAATACTGTATATTTCCAGCAAGATGGTGCTCCACCGCATTACTCTCTTGTAGCCAGGAATTCTTTGAACTCAACCTTTGGAGATAAATGGATAGGTCGGGCTGGTCCTATCGAATGGGCTCCATATTCTTCGGATTTAACTATACCAGATTTTTTTATATGGGGGTATGTTAAGGAAAGATGCTACGATCCAACACCTACAAACTTAACTGAACTGAGGAATAATATAATTCATGTGTTTAATACAATTACCCCAGAAATGCTGCAAAATGCATTTACAAATTTTTTTAATGCGTCTGCATACATGTATTGAACAAAATGGAGGCCATATTTAACCATTAATTTATTAATGTTTTAGTACATATTTTTTGTATTCAATAAAAATTGGTAGGTACCAACATGGTGGGACACCACTTACGCCACAAAAATCTGTGTGGTATGAGGTGCTCCCCTCTGTCTTTATAAGTAAAATATCATTACTTGATATTATTCTGAAATTTATACCTAAGGGACAAGGCAATGAAAAACAGTATCTTATCAATGATCGTTCGATGTAAAACGTCAATTTATATTTCGAAATGTGCCACCAAAATGTAATAGACACCGTTAACATTGATTTAATTACCTAAAATTAAAACCTATTAAAGCAATAAAAAAATTATAAAAAACTGACTTTTTAAAAGGCGAAGAAATAAACTATCTAATGACTATGAGAGATACGAAATGTTTCATTCGCCATAAGACCTTAATCTGTATTTAATTTTTTTTACGAAAACTTTACAAGTTTAAGATTTAGCAACTATGTCAGAAAAAAATTTAAACATTTCCAAGAATTTTGGTGAAAACCTTTTATCAATACATTGCCTTACTCCCAAATTATAAGTTAATTAATTGTGATACTTTACGTTTGGAAGTTATTGACATGGTTGCATAAAAAAGTGAATGTTTCCCTAAAAAATAAAGTAAATGCTTACAATGTATACATTTTTGGAAAGGGGAAGAAATGGTCTTTCCGAGGATGTTAAAAATTATAGGGTGTTCTATTTAAAATAAGCTCACAATTTTGGTTTTGGAAAGGGGAAGAAATGGTCTTTCCGAGGATGTTAAAAATTATAGGGTGTTCTATTTAAAATAAGCTCACAATTTTGGTTCAAAAAAGTTCGTTTTTTTTTTTGGCACTTTCCAGAAAAAAATTACATGTGGCAACAATGTCAAAAAAAACTTGAAGTAAATGTAGAAGGTCTAGTGAAAACTGCAACTCGATATCTTTTTTAATTCTCGAGTTATAAGTTGTTAAAATGTGTCAATTTATAACAATGTACAATACGCGGTTAATCGTCTCAAAAATTGTTTTAAATGAATAAAATTCACATTTATTTTCAAATCACTTCCACAAATGACAATTGACATGTCAGACAGATACTCACTGCGCAAACTCGAACCTCAATTTTAAATCTCCTTAACGGAACGTAAGTTTTGAACAAGAATTGACATCAAATCCATTCTTTTCATTTCAGTTCTGTGGGGTGGTCAAAATTTAAAATAACACTCAGTAACAGTTAACGTTTTTGCCGGTTGTTACACTGGTAAAATTGAACAAGATTCGTATAAATTCAGATAATACCTACACTGAGAAAAGGATTTAAATATCTGTAACAAACTTATTTAGCAACATGCACTATTTCTTCTCTGAATTGAAAGTTAGTAATGTAATTAGAAAAATAAGGCTTCACAATAATTTATTTTGAAGTAAATTATACTGATCGTTATATTAAAAAAGGTTTTTACTTGAGGAACCAGACCGAATACTCGTTCTACTTAATTGATCAATTTTTTTAGATAATACTAACTCTTTAACAGAGTGATTCTATTACAATTTATTGATGTATTAATCAATTGTGTACTATCCTGGAAAATACCTTCAACTATGATAGTTGGAACTAGAAAAATAGAATAAACTGATAATAACTGGCATTAAGAATGCAAATATACTTCCCAATTGTAATTTTAAATGCCTTTTATGTGTTTTAGAGCCTTAGGATATGTCAATAATACCATAAACAATCCTTGTAATAAGTCTTTTACCATACTCTCTTATATACTAAAGTTCTTTAGACTGTAGAAATCAAGTTGACGTTTTAATAAAGCGTTTGATAAGGTGTATCACAAACAATTATTTCTGAAACTAAGACAATTTGGTGTTTCAAAGAGTATGCAATCACTGTTTAATTTACCCACCTATGAAGATAATCAAAAACTGGGGTTTAGTCCATTAAATATAGCGTAAAAAGGTAAGCATTTGTACCAAATTTCACTTAGTTATCTTTAAACGTTTAGGAAATATTTACACAAGTGAGTCATACCAGGAATTCACTTTTAACACCCTGTATCTCGGAAAAGAAACGTTTTCGCACCTATGTTTATATGAACTTTTACTTTAAAAAGTAGATTACGCTGTTAAAATATGACTGTCTAATTTCGGGACACCCTGTATATATTTTCTGATTATCATATTTGTATTTGGGGTTGTGCATATACATTTTTATTCCTTATATTTTATATATTGACATTATAAATAAAACAAGCAAAACATTTCATTTATAAACATTTTGTTTTTTTCTTTTTCTTCGAATTTTAATTTTTTACTTTTTGTGTTTAACTTTCTTGTATTATTAAGGTAGATTCATACTATAGATCTGGTCACGGTCAGGTTTTTTTATGAACTATTCACACTGTTGCGGTCGCTCATCAGTCTTTTGTCAGTTAATTTAAAACAAGCAATGTTTTCAAAGTTTTCAACAAGAGACCTGGCCATAATGGCTCACATCCTAGATGAGGAAGAGAGAAGCGAAAGCTCCAAAAAAATAAGTTCAAAATATTCGCAAAAAGAAAGAGTGCGGCCAATTGACTAGATCGTTACCTGACCGTGCAGAGTAATATGAATACTTTAATACAAATTGCGTATTCTAATATTTGACTGGACCGCGACCGGACCGTGATCTGACCGTGACCGGACCTATAGTATGAATCTACCTTTATGTTATAATATCTTTGTTAATATGAATGTAATTAATTCTTCAACAATAAAGAAATTTGGACGACTTTAGTCAATATGTTCAATGCTAATATTAATCGTGGTACCTATTGACATACCTATTGACGTATTCACAATTACGTCTCTTTAAAAAGAAAATACAACGAATGTTTAGCGATAGTGCTTTACCACCTTGCCCGATTTATATGAGTTTTTTTTGTTAGTAAGGGGGTACCTCAGGGGTTGGTCCCATATAAATTTGGTTAAGATGTGATGGGATCTGCACGTTTTTGAAGTCGGTTTTTTTAAATTTTTAATTTATAATACTTGTTGAATATTCAAATTACCTTTCTTTGACAGTTCCACTTGATTTGTGCTCGATCTTTTTTTATTTTGGACTTTTCCTGTATCTTTTGATCCACAAGCTGCTGCGTTTATAGTTCTGAGAGACAAATTGATTTTGCTTATGATTTCGACCATGATTTTCGGTGAACATTTCGGAAGTTTGTAGCTTTTTAATTATTTCAACTTATTAATCTTTATCTTTTATTCAATAACTTATTCTTGGTCTATTCACATCTTCCATTTATGACGTGACCCATGACATTTTACTGCTATTTTTTATGTTCCTTACTAGAAGCATCTCAGCTGGTGGCATAAATAAAATGATCACCCGTTATAAAGAGAACCGAACGTGCATTATCAATATGCAGTTTATTACTACTTACGTTATTAATTATTGAATAGTCATATTTTCCGCTATTTATTCTAGAGGACTGGCAATATACAAGTAGCCAACTTCAAGTAATTTGAAATAAACTTAGGGTTACTGCTAACATTTTAAAATTTGTATTTATTTAATGAACAACAAACGGGAAATCCCCGTTACAATAAAAAATAAGGTAACTGCACCAATAATTGACACTATTAGACGCTGATTTGTATTAAATAATTATTTTCACCAATAACAAAAAAGTTTAAGCATATAATATGATTTTTTCTTGTAGCTTATAGTTTCTTGGGTTCATTAGTTATGTATTTTCAGTTCTAATAATTTTGCTTTTCATGAAATAAATATTATTAAAAAAGTGTTTTGAAGTACCAGTTATCGACACTTGATTTTTTTCATGTACCAGTAATTGATACACCAATTTTTTTATTATACTTTTAATTTTGAATACACTAAGTAAATAAATAAAAATAAACAACAAATACATGACACAAAAAATAAAAACAAAAAATTAAAATTTATGGGTGCTTTAGGCTTCAAAAATATCAATATTTTTTGAAAATACATATTTTATTCTGTCGCCAAGATTGTGTAGTTCCGGTTGGGATAACTTTTTTATGATTTCCTCTATCTTGATTGTTGAAATATCACTATCAACAAGTTTGAAGGTATTCGTTTCATTTGTTGATTTAAGGGATATAACTTCAATATCGTTTCGGGAATATTTCTTCTGAACCACACAGATATTACCTATAAAAAAAAGTTTTTCTCTTTCCTCCTAAGAATTCGCGCTAAAATAATATCTCCTACATGGATATCGTCGTATTTGATTGGTATTTCGTTCTCTTCTTCATTTTCTAAATTGATACTGACATCATCAATACTGTCTCTACTTTCTATCCATTCTTCGTTTTCGGATGAATTGTCAGAACTTTCCCTCTTTACTGACTTAGCCTTGTTTTGTATTTTTATAATTTTTTCTTCCCTTTTTCACTTTCTTCTGCCCGTTTTTGTTGTTCTTGTTTCCTCTTTTTCTCAAAATCCTTTTCTATGTGGTATTTTTGCCAAATTTCTGACGTAATAGCACAAGGAATTTGCTCTTTATTCTTTTTTTTTGTGTTTTTTACTTCTTCCGGCCAAAACAAGGCTTTTTTAAATGGAGTGGGAACTTGTTTCTTTAAAGATAATACATTAAACGGCGTTGTATTTTCCAATGAATTTAAAGGAGATCTATCACTTTGTGATACAGTAGGATGTGTAATATTAACATCAGAATGTATAACAATTTTTAATGGGGTCATCAGAATCAACTCTTTTTTGTTGAAGGCCAGAAGGTCCTGTCTCAAGTTGACTAATATGTTTTCTACAAGATCATTTTCTTTCTTGTTGCAATTTTGGTTCTCAATTTTATTTATGTTTTCTAATGGTTCAACACCTAAAGCGGATTCTATTTTAATTTTTTTTTTTTCATTGTGTTCCATACATTAAATAGTGACACGTCTTCCATATTACCTGTTCATGCAGTATCAACATTTGTTCGAAAGTTTTTTAATTTTTCTGAGGGAATACATTTTTCCAAAACTGCCAACCCTTCTATTATTCTGGTTTAACTTTTGTCGACGGATTTGAAATTTTTGAAAATTTTACATTTTCTACATTAAACGGCGAAAGTCCACATGCCCTAAATCCAGGTTGAATTGTTTTATCTGTAACTTTGGATAACGCTTCCTCAAACACTTTTCCGAAATTTTCTTTTCGCAATATGTTTCCGTGATTTTAGATGTGCCAATCTCTTACAGATTTTTTCCAAAATTGTTTTAGCGGTTTAAATACAGCCACATCCATAGGTTGAATTAAATGTGTAGAGTTTGGATACAATGCAAAAAGTTCTATTCCGTTGTTTGAACAACACTGATAGGTGTAATGTCATGTGCGTCACATGACCGTCAATAAACATAATAATGAGTCTCTCAATTGTTTTGCTCATCTAGCCATGGTACAAGCACATTTGTTATGTATTCAAAAAAAGTTGCTTCACACATCCATCCACTTTCGGAACGGCCTATTTCCCAACTTTTATTGATACTGACAGCTACATGACTTGGAATGCGTTCATATTTAAATACCACCATAGGAGGAGCTAGTGTCCCAGCGGCATTGGCGGTGTATAATACAGTTAAATTTTCTTTCTCGTCGTTGGTTCCAGCATTGTACACGCTTTTATCCCCTTCTCGTGAAAGGACTTTATCACCTTTTGGTTGAAGAAAAAAAGCACTCTCATCAGAGTTGAATACTCTGGAAGGATTCTCCGTTGCGACAAATAAATTTTTTGACTGCAAGTATTCTTTCACTTTCCGAAACCATTGTCGCAATTGTTGTTCAGTAACTTTTTCGCGGACTGGTGTTAAATTTTGTGCAATTCTTTCGCTTAAATTTGGATGTCTTTTCAAAAACGACTCGTACCATTTTCGATCTGGTCTCGAATCAGTGAAAGGGTTTGGTCGTTTACTTTCTTTAACGATAAACTGGACACTGTCTAGTAATTGCTCTTTGCCTACTGGATGGTGCACTTTGATGGAAAAAGTATCCACTGTTCGACAAGAGTTTCTTCATTGCTTGTGAGGATGGTACTTGGTCCCATTCGGCAATGTATAGGTAGCTTTCCTGTTGATTTATAAAGTAACGTTGTTCGTGGAACAAAGTAAGTTTTAGCAGGTGTAGCTACTGGCATCCCTCTTGCTGTAGCAGCAAGAGCTTCATCCAACTGAGCCTCTGTATAATTTTTTTTAAGTGCCATAACTGTAATAAAAAACGTGTTATTGACACTTGTACCAATAATTGACACCACTGTCAACGACTGGAACCAAAAGGCTGTTAGATCTCATATTTAAATGGTATATTGCAGACTTTTTAGACAGTATATCAACAGTGTATATCAGTATTTGCTTGTGGACCAGTGATTGACAGGGTATGTCAATAACTGGAACATACTGGTTTTGTTTGTTCCAATTATTGACACTTTAACATAAATGAGGTTTTAGAATTTACATGCATAAAAACCAGTAAAAACCCATCAGTGTTGTTTAATACACCCCCAGGAATAGTTTAAATAAATTTAACATGCAGTGATAAGAAGTAGATATATTCAATTTGGTATACTGCCCTTATGAAATGGTTTAACATAAACACTCTACACTACACGTGCTCTTTTCACCATTTTGTAACTGACCGTGGTGCCACCTAACATCTGTTACGTAGGCTACACGGTTGCCAAATATTCTAAAAATACCTATGTTTAAGATAAATTTCTCATATATAGTCTAATGTTCTTATTTTTAAAAAATAATTGAGCAAGTGTCAATTATTGGAACACTGTCAATTATTGGTGCACTTACCTTATACAAAGATTGAAGATGATAAAAATGTTGATCAGCCTTCAACCGACCACTCTCAAGCTGTGAATGTGATTATTAGTACTTCCAATAATCCACTGACTGGTCTTTCAGAAGAAGAAATCAATGAACGGATTGATTTTGACAAAGATGTAACGATCGTAGAAGAGATGAGGTCATAATTCAAATTGATAAGACCTCAAGAGGCACAAAAAAAACAAGAGTAGTGAGGAAAAAATGTCATCACCTGCGCTAATGTTTCTGAAGCCTAAAATACATTTGTGAAATTTACTAAAAGCAACAAGAACTACGACATTACAGAAGGAATGAATCTTTACATCCTCCAGAACAGTTTTTGTTAATTAAGGGCTCATTGTAAGAAGCATATTGACATTAATACTTTGTTCTCATAGATCTCGGTGCAAGAATAAATCTGACCCGCTATTAGTATAGATACTATGACTTTCTGTTTCGACTCAGACAGAACTATGCTAAAATGTTAATACAATAGTAATACTTTACTTTCCTTGTAAATAACAAATACAGTTACTTAAAGTAGTACGCATATACTTTTATTTCTCCTGTTTAAATCAAGTTTTAAAAGAGACCTCAATAATCCGGTATATTTGGTGATCCTGCACTGATAAATCCCCGATCGTTCCCAATTATTAAGGTTCAGAAATGTGTGTTGGATAAACTCTAATGACCTTAATATGTACATCATTAAATGGATACCAACTTGGCAAAGTAGAAAATTACTATATTGTAATGTATCTTCAATATCATTGATATATAGTAAGAACTATAATAGTCCCAAATAGGAACCTTGTGGAACCCCTGGGGGTACGTCATATTGGATGGGCAGACTACCATCTATCCTTACAATTTAAACTCTGTTTTTAAAATAGCTTTCAAGCCAACTCAGGAAAGCATCACAAAGTTCAAGCTTTTTTTTTAATTTAAATAGCATTAAAGTCTGATTAACATTGTTAAAAGTTTTACAAAATCACAACTTACATATGTTCATAAAAATTTAAAAGAATATTTTGTTGATAGGAGGCCATCAGTTTGGTAAATGTTTATCTATTCGCAGTAAAGTTGTTGATTAATACCCAAGTAACATTTTTAAGAGAATAAAGTTTTATTTATGTTTTATTAGGATTTTATGAAAGCATAAAAATTAATAATTATTTTATTACAGTTATTTTTTTTTGCTAATTGGACTGCAGGATAAATTGATCTTATTACTTGGTTTTATAGACTCCTTTAAATCTGTTTAAGAGAACTAGTTTATCCTAAAGTAAACTATGCTTTATCGCTGTCCTATAAGGGTTAATTAATAAGTAATTTTAGAACTATTTAGTTTGAAGATACTCCTAAGGTGTGTTTGGCGTTAAAGAGGCATACTTTTTAGTAGTTATCTTAATTAGGTTTTAAAACTTAGTTTTAAAAAGTTTTTTAGGATTATACGTTAAATTAAATTGAACCCAGAACCTTTTAAGTACATTTTTTTGAAAATTTTACAACATAACTCTTATAATTTATTTAATCTAGTAAACGATATGGCTCTTTTAAAACTACATAGTATTAATAAGAACTAAAGTTTGTTTTAGAGCATAACCTAGCTTTTCAACCCAATCACATTATGTTGACGATAAAAGATAAATTGTTGAAAATTAAGAAAAGTGGCAATTTCCATAGAGAATGAAAAACAAATGTATATGTTTCTCCTTCTCCTCAGCGTTTAATAAGTTCATTGTGTTCCATTGTTGAACAAATATCAAAACATTCCTAGGCTCCTAATATTCCGGAAATGATCAGTGAAAGATAAAAATGGTTAATATATTATTACTAATTTTTATAATTTGAATGACTTGTTCGTAGAGTAAATAAGAAGCTCAAGAGTGAGGTTAGGTTATGGCCGTCTGATTGAACTTATGAATGTTTTATTGAGGTTTTCGTTTTAACTATTGTTTTATGAAACGCTTTAAAAAGTTTAGCAGGAGGTTTTTAAAACTGGAAAGTCCTAAAAAGTATTTTTTTTGCTTTATTAGTTTTATAACCTTATGTCCGTTTTTAGGTACAGATAGAACACACTGAGGAAATCCTCCATTTTAAATATGGCAGTAGTTGTTTAATCACATATCATGTAAAATAGGTAGTACCTGTCTACCAGATCTGTACCTAAAGGATATTCAATCGATTCAAATAAATTATGGTCAAAGTTCAAATAATTCTAAAATATTTCGATTTTAGTAATGACAGTGATAGTGTGTCAATGACAACAGTGTGCCAATGACAACAATGTGCCAATGACAGTAAATTTATTATTTATGATTGCGTAATGTCAAATTTGTCAAATATATCTACAGCTAATTCCTTTTAGGGTATATAACTGTAATTTATATTGGAATATACTATGATATAATGTTATACAACTCTTGCCTCGCCTAAAGTAATTTATGATTAAACACAAAGTTTGTTTCTGATAGTCCAGTAGGTAGTATACGCAATTGAAAATGGTTTTCTGACAATGACAAGTATCCATGCAAAGAGAAATCTACAATAGGATTTATATTGGCGGTTAAATAGTCACTTCCATGAAATAATTTGAAAAATACAAAGTGTGATGTTTTATATGAAAAACATATCGAAGACAAATGTAATCATTTTATAGTGCTATATATACGATATTTACAATGTTATTTTCTATTAAATAACTTTTAGTAAATATATTAAAATCCGTATAATAATCCTTTTTTACGTATATTTCATATATTGTAAGGCCCATCATTTATTACGACCCACCTTGTCCACTTTCAACAGTACATTGGTGTGTGTTTGAAAATTGAAGAAATAACAAGTGTAACTAAACAAATTAAACATACACTATATAATAATTAATTTCTAATATGGTAGTCTTCCCAACATGTTTGCAAAATCATTCTGTCAGAGAGTATGATAAAACGGAATAAAGCTAAAACAGTTTAAAATTTAATTCTCTTAAAACTGATTAGTTTTGTAAAGATTTTATGCCTATCCCACTTATTATCATAATCTTAAAAAATATTTAAAAACGGTTTAATAAAATTCTTAATATACTCTTACGGACTTTGTCTTAGGTCTAATTAGTTTTAAGATATTTTTTTAAAAATACTCCTAAGAACCGTTATAGGATTCTCCCTTTTCCTCCTAAAGCAGATTATAGTAGCCCTAAAGCTATCTTGCGGATTCAAAAATTTTATCAGTGTCTTAAAAAAGGGTTTTATGGTTACCTTGTATACTTTGATAAATCTAAAAATGTTACTTGGGTAATGTTATTACTGCTACTGCAATACCAGAACAAAGGACTGTTTAAAAGTTTTAGTATGACCGATATTATACTGATGGATTACTGATACTGATATTATTGTATCATGAATTAATAGAAGGATTTATGACGGGCATTTCTGGTTTAGGTAACCTAATCTTTTAATACTGTATAAACCTTAACCAACGTTGAATTATAGAAATAATTTTCATCTTATCTCCACGCATCTAGCTAATAAAAAATCTCGTAAATCAACTGTCCTGTTGTCGATAACTTTATTACACCATTCTGTCTCTCCCTTATGAACGAGGGAGAGATAATAATTGATGTTTTATGTAAATGGATATTATCCGAAACGATTCTTTCGTAAGCCATCCCGAGAGTTCTAGCATTTAATTAAAACCCCGTTTTGGATTAGATAATAACGACATACTGGTAGAGTTTAAAATGTCGTGAGACTTACAGGAAATTTATTGATTGTTTTCGAGCAACACGACCTGGGAAAAACGATACTATAAATCCTTATATTCTGATACACCTAGCTATCGGTTTATAGGATCTTGAGAATCTTCGCCGTTTTTTATTTATGGATATTTGAGCATGACTACTGAAGGTGGTTCAAAACGATTTGAAATAATAGGAAAACTTTGAATAAGAGGATTGCGGAGTATTAAATTGGCAATAATAATGTAGAATTTACTTGAAGTTGCATCACATAAAGTAAGGGATCCTAGAGATATAAAAAAATGTATAATTATGGTAAAGGGAATACATGTTGTGTAATTATATAAACATAATAATAATAATAATAGTAAAAAACAATCGTTTGTCTAGTCGTTATTTTCATTTTTCCAAGCGTTTGTCCTATTTTAAATGAAGTTTTATAAGTACCTACCAGTGGCGGCTCGCGGATTTAAAAAATGGTGAAGAGCTACTTAACCAAATAGAACTAAAACACTTTCAATATTGATTTATTTATATTATTTATCTAGTTTTTGTACACCAACTCGATTCTTCGGTCTTTTAGCGAGGCAAACCTATCAATAATATCGTCATAAAAAGGTTTTCGCCGCATAAGATCCAACAAAAGTTCTTTATGAAGTGAGATAACAGTGAAACTGGAAAGTTTATCTTGCGAAATAGTATTTCTTGTAAAAGTTTTTAACCTTTTTAAACATGAAAAACTTCTCTCCACCGATACGCTCGTCAATAAACACAAAATTTTCCGATCGTACCAACGGCCACAAATACAATAAACAAATAAAACGTCGAATTACATATATAATATCTTTGCGCGTCGCCGAAACAAAGATGCATACTAATAATCTATTTTTAAATTGCCCTTCATGTCAACAAAAGTCTTACACGGACGTGTTCCTGCTGACACGAGGCTGACGTCACGTTACCATGACAACGGTGCAGAGCAAAGACAAAGCTTTGATACTGGCTCTTCATTTCACTTTTCACTTTGGTTTCGGGAGAGCGGCCAGTGACGCAGCTTGTTGGATCGTTTGTATTTTTAACTAGGGGTACCATATTAATGCAGAGTTGCGCTACGGAAAGATTAAATATTGTACAGGAGGCGTTTGATTAATTTTTTAAATTCTTAAATTTATAATACATAAAGATATACGTAAGATGCCAAGAGTGTTATAAATTAATAATTTAAAAAGTTTCATAATTTTTATTTAATTTTTGTATTTTGTAATTTTTTGGTGAAGAGCCCCTTCACCTACTTCACCTGACGAGCCGGCGCTGGTACCTACATTTAAAATACCAATTTATTGTAAAACAAAAAATATTCCTAGTATTCCTACAACCATAATTTCTTCGTCAATTGCATCTGAATATCTAATTTACAAAAAATATATATCACAAACAGTGGCGACTCGTGGTAGTTTAAAATGAGCGTTCAAATTTTAGCATTTGTAAGGTCGGTTCAAAACTCTGTACAAGCTCTAATAGCCCTCAAAGCTTCTTTGGTATCGTCTGTTTTAAAACGATTAAATTCCGATTTTTTTTTAAGATCCTTGATTCATGAAAATATTGAATGATTATTAAAAAATCGATTAATAGAAAAGAATTGAGAAAAGAATCGAGAAAAGTATCGATTAATTTTAAGTAATCGATTAATCAAAAATAACCGATTATTTGAAATAATCGATGATCGATTATTTATTT